TGATCGATTATCAAATATTTGAATATTATTTTCCAAATTTGAATATTCGAATGCAATTTTCCTGAAAAGGACCAAGGAATTTCCTTTGTTTTAAATTAGAAAAATTGTACTATGGAGGCTTTTTTCAAGCAGACTCAAAATGAGAAACGATTCAAAATGTGAATTATTCATTACACAATTTAAAAGGAATAGAAATTTTCAACAGGGCAAGGAGTATTGTTCGTCTCTTAATCTTGCTAATATATGGCTGGAGATACCGGTACATGTACTCCTAGACGTGAGAAGCTATTATAGTGATTATAATGTAAAATTGCGTGCATTATTACAATTGATGTGTGGTTTGTTCCGCAACAGTCTGCCGGTTGGTATAACCGAATACTGAGATATGCGATCGAATTGAAGGTCGATTATTTGACTAGTGAATTTTTCCAATTGACTCAGCCCTACAGTTGCTTCTAGCCATTGAAAGTGACTTCTTTTTTTTATTTTGAAAGAAAAGACAAACAACCCGGAACCACTGTAACAAGGCCTGACTTACTAGTACACTGAGTGACGAGTGTGTGGGACTGTGTTGACAGTTGGTGGTGTTTCTGCACAAAACTGCTTTTAATATACAATGTACAACTGCAATATATACATGTACCACACCAAGCATTTACAAATATAACACAAGTTTGATGAATGTAGTTGAATTCCTATCCCTGTCAAAAGGAATTGTTAATGAGGTCAGTTCTGTTATTTGTGGATGAGAGTCTTTGTGTGGGTCAACAACACCAAATAATGAATATTTCTTCATCAGCCTCGACACATGTCAGAACCAAAATTGATCTGAGCTGAGTGTGGGTTAATGGCCTACAATTAAAATGCCTTCCTATCAGTTAACTGATCATAAATGATTGGACTTTATCTGTACCATCTCTTAGTGATATGTGTAAATTCTTACAAATGGGTCATTATGGAGACATTTTGTGGTAAATTTTTCAACCTTAGGGAGACATCGGTCATTAAGGGGACAATTGTCTCCCTAATGACCCGGCTACCAGAAGGAGGCCAAATTTTACTGTCCAAATTTTGAGATATATAATAGATTAGTGTCTAAGTTGAAAACATACGAAGTTTGGTTCAGATCAGATTAGGGAATATTGAATTATAGGACAGTAAAGTTTGTGCACGTTCTTATGGGAATATCTCCCAAGTGACCCATTTTCGGTAAATATAATCATTCTCTGTATTATAAGGAATATGTAAATTTAACACTGAAAAGTTAATCAGTTTTAACAACGTAACTGCAGGTACTACATGTACATGTATTAATAAAACAGCCCGCCAGAATCAAATCTCAGAATAAAGGCTGATGTGATCTGAATGTTGGAAGGATTTTGCAGTTATTGAAATAGTAGAATCTACATGCAAGGTTTTCAAAATGTGTAACATTCTCTTGCATACAATTTACCCCAAGTGCATTGAAACAACCGGCTAATGGTAGTTTTTGTGTATGGGTCATTCCATTAGGTTGGGGCACAATTTGTGACAGTGTCCTTGTTACATGGGTAACTTTTACCACCTGTCATGACCTGTAGAGTAGGTCATTTACTCTGTAAAAATATCACACACCGTACCTCTGTATTCTGCCTTGCAAGATGTATTTGGGAATCCACATACAGGGTAGTCATTGCAGGGAAATAGCTGTTCATTTTTACGGAACCCATTTGGTCACCTTTGTGCCCCAATCTCGTGGAGTGACCCATATGTCAAAGTTCATACAGTGTACATGTATATCAACCTTGTTGGACAAGCCACAGCAAGCTTGAGGACAGTGTTATCTTGCCAAAAGATTTGTGGCATGGAGTTGAATCAACAACATGCATTCTTATCGGGAGGATTAGGACAAGAATTTATTGATTTTGGATGGAATGAAAATGCTCTCAATGATAATTTTGTCTCCTGAACATTAAAAACAAATGTGAACATTCTTTTGTTTTGTTAAAGATTCGCAGTATTTTTTTTTTGCTGGAGATGGAATTGTGTTGTTTCCAAACCAGAATTTAATACAGGCATTGAGCTACACGTAAAAGGTCAACAACAGGACTAACTGATGTTAGTTGAGGATAAGTGGCAGGTATGCAGTGAAAGCGGTTACAGCTTTCAAGAAAGAGTTAAAAGGCACCTCTATGCGGTGGCGTTGGAATGATTTTCAAAGTAAGGGGGGTAGTTGTAAGACCATCAGGCATTAGCCATTCATAGATTGATCCGTTAGCTCCGCCCTATTATCGGACCCATCAAAAGCTGGGGGCATGAGTTGAAACACGAAGAGGTCACCGCCCCCCCCATATCCCCTCTTCCTCTGCTGGTGGCTCAGTCAAAAGTAACTGGGCACCAGTTGCATACAAAATTTCCTTTGCAGTCAGAGACATTTTGGCTGGTAACAGAGTCTGGCTAAACATAGAAAAAGTGGCTTTGTGAATTTCTGTGCTCGGTACCTGTAGCTCCACGATTCATGAACATACATGTACATGTATGTATAAGCTTTGTCAGGATTTCGGTTTCTGTTTCGTTATGTTCAGCAGTAACCCTTGGATATTTAATTCCCTTCCCCAGCATTTCCCATAATTCTAACTCCACTTTTCAAGTTATACATTCACTAGGATATCCCAGTTGTTCCAAATTTATATGAAGAATATAAAACCAACCCCCACTGAGCATGAATATTTTTCTGACAACCAATTAATCAAATTCCTCATCTAGAAGGAAATGGCTCCATGATATTCATCCAACGTGTCAACAAATTCCCCCTACTTGACTTGTCCTGACAATTGAGCTTCAGTTGTCAAGAGGTCCAAAGATGAAACCAACCAAACTCAAGGGTTGCTATGATACATGTATGAATTTTTATCAACTTAACTAGGACACAGGGTTTGTGGCCTAGGTTCCTATTTACTTGGGTTGACAAGTTTTGTTCCTTTTTCTTTCAGTCATCAAAACTGATACCTAACTGCAGACTTGCAAGAGCAAACTGCAAATAATAAGTCAATAGAGCAGACTCTATCACAGTTTGTTTTCTTGCAATAAGTCTTTTGCAAGTTAAATTTGAATAGAAACTTATACACCGAGTTCTTTAAATTCACATGAACATAACAGTTGAATTCTCCTTACTGATGACACTGTTGATATACTTTGTGATTCGGGGCAAGATTTTGCTTAGTTACATAATTAAGAGACGCCTTGCACCAATACACTGTTTTCAATTAAAAAGATTTTATTCAAATTTAACTCTCAAAAAGCTTATTATTATTCAGTCCCCGGTATGTTGGCAATCAATTATTGTGTAACCCTCGGGAATTTCATCTTGAAACAATATTTAACAAGATTTCAGTCACTGGGGAGTTTTAAGATATTTTCTTGCTCTCAAAATCCAGAGGCAGTTGGAAACTACTAATGTGTTTAAGTTTGACCTTCAGGGATTATCTCCTTGGATTATCCCCTCAGTAATCTTCATTAGTTGAAGCGATAAGAGTACAAATGACTTGATAGGTAATTGTTCAGTCAAGCCTTTCACAGGGGGTAATCCCTCTCACCTAATGTAGGCCTCTTACAAGGAACTCATCCAAGAGGTCTGTGCACCCTGTTGTCAAGGAGCCTGTACTGCAAGGGTGGATTAAACCGGAATTGAATTTGTGTGCCTCCCCATTTCACATAAACCATGTGCCGTAGGATACTGAAGAAAAAAATGAAGCCACAGCATAAAGCAGAAACCTCGTCGAGACAAAACGTGAGCTGCCAAACAATTTCCTGAGGGATTTCTCATTGTGCAGTGATAAATTTGGTTAGATATACCAGAATACTAAAGGTCAACGTACAAGTTGAAAAAGTTTCCCAGGATATTTAGCCTCACACCTCAAAAATACAGTAAAAAGGAAGATATAAACAAATTGCCCCCCCCCCTTAAAAAGGGCTCTGGATTTGGTCCTTTGTCTCAGTGACAAATAAGTGTTCTCCACAATTTGTTTTAGCAGGGGGGCCTCCCTACCAAAATGTTAGACCACCATGCTAATGTTTTGCCGCCCCACCAAAATTCTCACTGCCCTGCTATTTCTTCTTTTGGATTCTCCCTATTCTCCACCATCTTCACAGTTATGATCTAAACGGAAAGAAGTTAACAGCACCCTATGGAGAAAACATGATGAGTTTGCCATCAGAACATCACAACAGAATACATGTAGCACTTTGTAGCGTTTGTGATCAAAGCCAGACACAGTATAGTACAGTTAGATTCATTTCTTTTTAAATTTCAGTCAATTGTTAACAGCCAACTTGACTTGACCCACGAATTGATGGACTGAGAATTACTTGTGGATCAACTTTTGAAGTTGTGAATAATTGAAAGTTGGCCTGCTATTAACAGGTCAGAGAGTAATTTAAGTTCAATTGTGGTAAGCAAGGATCATATATACAATAGTGCCCGTTGCAAATCCCTTGTGGACCCTTATTCTGGGGTTGATGTTAAAGGCTGGTGTACTAGTGCACTTGTAAAGTGGAAAGGGTCCATGTGAAATATTTTGTCAGAAAAGACTGGACAGGGATCGTAACTCCTGATCCCTTACACATTCTGTAGTCATAGAGTTATTTGGGGATCTTTCAATTGACGTTTTTAAGAACAGAAATAGCCACTCAGCTTTGATTAAGAGAAAAATGTGGAGTTGTTAGTTCATGCATTCCAAGATTCTTTGCAACAAATATGTGGTCAGTATGTCACACCATGGTTGCACTTAAGGAAATGCTCCACACCTCGCAGACAGAACACTTGGTCATTGCCAGAAGATTTCTGTCAACGTGGCTCTGAACATGATTCATTTGTCTGTAGGATAAGTGAGTGGTCGATTCTTGCAATGTTTGATAAATGAGATCATGAAGTATGGTGGAAGCGCTACCTATATAACGTATTTCCTTTGAAATGTGAGGAATTTAGTCACCTGTTCCTGCACATCCTTGTTTATTTGACGCACTGTCTATGTGACGTGACGTGACGCAGTGGTGAAGCAAGCTGTGCTGTAAATAGTCCACCTGAAAGTTAAAGCCATTCCACTTAATCAAAGCATATTGCATAACAGCAGTTAGGTAGGCACTATTCATGTACAGTGACAAACAGGCAGCAAGTGAAGTGAGTCAAGTGACCTTCACTTTATAATCCAGATATTCGGTGGAGCTTGGTTACATTTTGCTCGTGTATCCTATGTTAGCTGTGGTAAGTATTGATTGGCCTGTGTGGATTTTTGATGTCATTCATTTTATTTCTAAATTCTGGTGTTTTGATACTGGCTACTGTAGTTCCAACTTTAGAGGTACATGTACATGTAAGTGGAAATGTTGTACATCCATAAAGCACTAAAGTTCATCTTGGTCCTTGAACCTGACACAATGATTATGTTAGATACATGTTCTTGAATCTTTAAGATCTTCAGTTTTCACAATGCCAAAGCACTCTGTGTACTCAGTGCTTTCTGAGACGGGGAAAAACTTCACAACTTCAACACAAGCTCACCTGTTTTAGTAAAGACTTTAGATTTCTTTTAAAAGTGTTGGAACCTCGCATCCGTAATGTATGTGTCGATGTGCTAATCTATGTCACGTGTGGGGACAGACTATGGTTGCATTATAAGTGAAGTAGGATGTTTCTGCCTCCAACATCTTTGACCATATAGTTGTCAGGTCCCTTATTTCGCCACTTACTGATAAATCAATCAGACTTGATAATAGGTGGCAAAATTAGGGACTTGGCAACCATATACACAGATATTGTCATGGAGGTTAGTATATGCCAGGTATGAACTCCCTGAATTCTGGATAAGATAGACCTGGCAGAAATTTGTCTGCTAATGTCCTTCATTATGTAGCAGTATACCCTTGAAAGCAGACCCTCTGGTAAATACATACACACTCTAACTGACCAGCAGGTGTGTTTGTGTTTGGTTCTGGATTTGTTTACATCTTAACTTTCATTGATTTGCCTTTGTGGCTGTTTTTGTCTCCACTGAGTCCAGAGGCCGGTGTATGCTTTGCTGTAAATGAGGAAATTTCTCAGGCGATTGGGGTTTCAATGCATTATTGATTTCTGGCCGGACTAAGTGACTTGTTGGGGATCTGCACACATTGTAAGACATTGATTGAGCATTGTCAATGCATATACTGTACCAGGAAGGTGTTAGTTTATTTAACACATGTGTCAGATTCATGTTTTTTATATCTGGAGTCTACTGTTGTGAGACACAAGACAGTCAAACCTCGTTAATAAGAGCACTCTTAATACAACAGTTTGCTTATAACAAGGACGTTTTTAGGTCCCGATCCTTTTGTTTTTCATTGTTTTCATTTCTGATGAAACAAGGCTCCTATCATGACAAGGTAATTTGCCCAGTCTGAGCAACGTCTTATTGATGAGATTTGATTTAATATCCGTGTAGCAGTTGAAGACAAGTAGGAAGACAAGGCAGTTAAGATGGTTGTTTTATGTTACATATCCTCTCTGTTTCATTTCAACCATGAATAAGATAAGCTTTGAAGCTTTTCAAAGGGAGCACCATACAAGGATATCTGTTTTTGTGAGGGTACTCTCAACCAGATAGCAATTTTGTTTAAGTACCCATTGGTCAGATTGCAGTTAGTTTTTTGATTGACCATTGAAGCAACTACGGGTATAGTATTCCGAACACAAATTATAAATGAGTCTCAGGTCTTGCAACTTCCCACTGCTGAGGCAATTTTGGCAAATGTTCATCTTTTTTTTCTGGAAAGTACATGTATATATACATGTTCAATGCACCGTATATTATACTAACTATTTGGTTGTTCAAGGGCCCAGGCTGTTATGGCATCAGGGATAACAAGTTGACTAGTTGAGACTGATTATGGGGACAAAATTTAATGCGCTTGGCCCCCCAAATATCTATTGTTTCAGCATGCGTGTTGTCCTCACATGAAGATGTGTACATTGTACATGTACACTTGCATCATGTACAGCGTAAGTGGAAGCAGTTTTTAAATCCCAGACGCTGGTACTAAAGTACATGTACTTTGCCCTGGAGCTAACCTGAGTACAAGAGCCTGTTTAAATCATTCCCAGGACTTCATGAGATTGACAGGAGGCTGCTTGCTTGCTGGAGATAGTTTCTTTTATTGGAAAATGCAAATGTTGGAGTGATGTCACATTACATGAGAAGTGTTTGATGTACCGGTAAGCCGAGAGCAATGAAAGATTGGTGTCGAATGGTGTTTGTGTGCAGAAATCGGGCATCTTCGCAGGGCTTCTCTTGGGAAATTGGGCATCTTCAAGGGGATTCTCCAAAAGGGGATTAGACTTTAGGTAATGATAAGCTTTTCCTGTTAAGACATGAGTAAAATTGGAAGTAATGAGTTTTATCTGCTGGGTCAGTATTTTTTTGTCCACATGCTGTATTTAACATCTCTGGGAAGTCCATTTTGGAATTGATTGAGGCTTTAGTCTTTGATAGTGGCACACCAGCGACAGCAGCCAAAATTGTGCAAAACATATCCAACTTGGATTTGACCTAAACTTTTTTCTGCCCCAAAATATTTCATAATACTGCAAATACAGCTTTAGATTAGATATGAATCTAATGATTTAGATTTGTACCGGTAACTGGATCAATCATTAAATCTGTTTTTATGTGACGGTGTTTGGAAAATGTTAAAGGTCGACAAAACATCTTGGATTTAACTTGCCATTGTGTGTAAATCCTTCATTGTTAGTAAATGCCTTTTCCAGGGAATGGGGAAAACTCAAACAGATGGTTGTTTATTTGCAGTCTGGACTGTTAAAAATGTGTCATCATTTAGGGGATTAACCTCTTGAGGGTTGTCCATTTAGTACCGTCAACTTGAGTGTTTATGTCCATGATGCAACTAAAATTAAAAAAAAAAATTATTTCATGGTTTTGTTTGATTGGAAATGGAGGGCTGTAAGTTACGTTAGTGAGTGTATGGACTGTTCCATTTTAAGCTCTGTCTCCAGTCAGAATGGTATGTTCTGAACAGTTCCAGATAAAAGCATTAGCAATAATTTTTCTTTTTTTTCTTGAGGGTTGAATGTGGGAATTACAGGACTATATTCATGCAAATTTTAGGGCTGCAGCAAAGTGCATACATTTTGGCTTCATTCAACAACATTTTGCTTCCTGGAGGCTCAGCACTGAAAAACTCCATGTACAATGTACATGTACATCCAGGAAGCACCTGTGCAGTGGTACTGCTAGAAGAGTCCTGCAATATAATTATGCCCCTGCCCATCGGTGACTCCAGAAATATTGGTTTGGAATTGTGGGATATTGTCTGCCAGTCTGTCAGCGGGGCACTGCAGTGTTTGCTTTGTCATGAAGAAGTTGTGACAAGATACACAAAGGGGGCCTGGGAGCGTGTTCAAGGCACTTGAGAATTTCAGCTGTTGGATTTTTTTTGTTCAGAAGCTGATGGCAGAGGCATGTTGTACATGTAGTGTTTGAAGTGGCTCATACACAGTTAGTGAATGGATGTGTACTTTCGATGATGTGACCGCTAAATGGGGGTCTAATCCTAAGTTACAGGTGAATCAATTAGTAGTAGTCTAGCGTCAAAATGCTAGACTTGCATGTAGTTGAATGATCTGAGAATAATTCTTAAGGCCTTGCACAACAGAGCCTCTCAAGGCAGGTTGAACCCGGGCAAGCCCAAATGCTTCCAAGGAGAAATTTCATTTAGATGTCATTTACATGTACAGGTACATGTAGTCGGGTTTGCACAGTGGTTCTTTCCTCGCCTTCCACCTGCTCGGTCCACATGTGGATTGGGTTTTTAGTCCCTACTAGATTTTGTGGGTTTTACCCAGAATATTCCTTTGGGGTTTTCCTCCCGCCTCTAAAACTGTAACTGCTTCTCATTGTCTCCTCTCTACAGGTTTCTTCAGGCTTTCAACTACAGTGCCTAGGGCACTCTTGAGGAATCCTTGGTGTCATTATCAGAAATAACTAATCATAATAATTTATGTTGAATTGTTTATTATGCTGCTTGTTGCAAGAAGTTTAAAATTGCTTTGTGATTTACATGAAAATGTGTCACACCCTTTTACCTAAAACACATTGTGTCCATGGGTAATTCCCATCTCACTTGGACATTGCTGTCAAAAATTCAAATGGTGCTTTTGAAAGAGGACTGAAAAAGTGTAAATTTACATCAGTGACTTGAATAAATATGATTGTATAAATCTTGATATGTATTAATTGCTCCAAGGTATTTTGACAACTTGACTTGAATCTGAAACACTGAAACTACTTTCAATATGTTGACCATTCTTACCTCAGTTGCCAAGTTGGTTAAGGCCTAACTAAACTCTTGAACCAGGTCACCACCACATTGCTGAGAGTTGTGGCTTTGGAAGCCTTGGAATTGGTTCCTATGGTACAGAAAAGAAGACAAGTGAAAAAAAAAATTGAAATCCCACTGTGTTGTGTCTTTATCCTTGGCAACCAGAACCCTAGACTTGTTTTGCCCAGGTCCATGAGTATGTGTAATATTACACAGCCTGGAGTAATTGTTGATTAATGGACCGTTGCTGGAATTTCCAAATGTCTTGAAAGGTTCAGGAATTGCCTTGAAGGTCTTTAAAGTGGTTCCCCATTGAGAGGTTTTCCAACTCCTGTTTCAGTTTTGCAATGATTCAGAACTGATTCATGTGAGAAGGCTAGTTGGTTATCAGTTTTACATTACTACAGAATTGCATTAATTTCAAATGAACAGTTATCAGAAAAGGCGTTACATATGAAAGGGTAGCACAAACCAGCAGGCAGTTTGTTGTGGTAATTGTTTATCAGCCACGAACCAAAGTGCTTGATTGTCATATCCCCAGGGAAGTACAACGTACCACCAGGTCAAATCTTTGTTAGATACATGTGTACATATAGCTACATAACTTTCATACATTTTCTAAAGCAAATCTTTACCTAATGCAGAGACTAAAATATGTTCCCTTTGGATCAACTGCCATTTGCCCTTAAAGGACTTTATCGGGCAATTTGATATTTGTACATTTACTCCCCCCTTAACCAGGTAGATACTTTACTTTAACTACACCTGCGCAAGAGGTACACAGACCTGTCGATTTCATATACATGTACAATTGATAACCTTATCATGATGAAAGAACAGAACTCATTTTTTTCTGTTACACAAACTGAAGTATAGAACAAAACACAATTTTCAGTCTCTCTTTGTAATAGTTCTGAGGTCCGTTCAAGGTACATGGACCGTATTCTGTTGTCTCACTAGTTTGGTCTGTGGATTGGCACAATGATGTGGCTAAGAATTCTTTGCCCAAAGTTACATATACATCGTAGCTCGTATTTGGTGAGATTACTGTTTTAAGAGTTGGTGATGTCATTGAGTTGTCATTTTTTAATTCAATCCTCTGTGAATTCTATTCTGTAAAAGCTAGAAATATTTTAGAATAGAGAAGAAAGGGAAAGCTTGAAAGTTGACAGAATTGAATTTGGAAACACACTGGTATCACATTACTACCATGCTTGACCAAAGTCTACTTCTATTATTCTGTTTGGACTAAAACCAGATGTATGCATTTTTCTCTAACTACCCCAAAGTGACCCAGCAGAAAGAAAATGAAAGGCTTATTGTAGTTTGAGCCAAGTCAAGTGGAAAGTACACAGGGCAGAATCACATTTACTTATATTTTTCCTGTTAGGCATCCTGCCTGCTTGGGAAACTTGAAACTGTAAAATCATTCACAAAGATGTGGAATTGTTTCTCCATTTTAGCGTCACCAGATCAAATGATAGAAGCATGCAAATTACCTCATGTTGAGTGAAAAATTGTTTAATTGAGCAAGTATGTTCCATTTGACTTGGTGCCTTTTGTAAACAAGCTGAGCTTTCCCTTTGAGGCATGTTGAATTGATTCACTTTTTTGGCTGTAACCTTGAGAACCATTGCCCAGAGTAAGGAGTCTAGACCCTGCTGCTGGCTCCTTCATCAAACACTATTCAGGGTCCTCCTTTGAACAACAAACCTACCTGCTAGCCCAGTTATTAATTGGTTTTTTCCCTTCCTGTTTCACTTCTCTTTACCCAGGTATTGTTCAAATACTACTGAAGCGAGAACAATCCATTCAGTGGGCTTAAGGTATCGTGTGCTCCATAAATAACTTCCAGCAGGACCCTCGGTATGCTCTGGCACCAAAACAGAAAGGCTGGCTTGTCTTTTCTTTTTATGATCTGAGCCTTTGGCATTAGCAGTGCCAAGTGATATTCAGTGTGAGTGTGCAATCTAACAGTCAACTTGCAAGTCCTGCATTAGCCTGATTTTATCAGAGTCTAGACTTTGAACAGTGTTCTTTCCGCTGCACCTATCGTGAGGTAAAGGCATCCTTTATCTGCGTTTTATTAGAGATTTTGCCTTACTGCTGGCTACATTTGACTGTCTGTGAACTACTTGTGGATATGAATTATGCTTGTGGCGGAAATTTGCTTTCTCACACCTTACTGTCAATGAAACACATCTTGTGTACTCAGTAGTTGAACCCGTGAGATGAAGCAAAGATGGCTGAAGGTGGAACCGGCCAGTCAGAAACAGGCTCGGAATTGAATGAGCCAGTCACTGACTGCGACAATACCAGGTGCAGTGATGGTACACTGGTCTCGTTCGACAGCTTTGAAAAGTCAGACATGTTGCCAGACCACAGAGGCTGGTTGACAGAAAGCAGGACAAAGAAACAGTTTTGGTGTGTCGCAGCCAGTAACATGCTGGGATTGTTTGATTCACCCGAAGGTGATGAACTAAAGAAAGTGTTGACACTGAGTGATTTTCACTTTGAAGCGTTGATCAAAGATTGCGACATCCAAGAAGACTGTGATTCTGAGGGCTGTGCCTCCAATACCAGGAGATCAAGCTGTCCACTAACGAGCAAGGAATTCACCTTGGAATTGACACCAGTTTCAGGAGATAGAATTTTCTCCTTCGCTGTCCCGACAGAGAAGGAGTTCTCATCATGGAGCCAAGTTCTTCACAGTTCTACTGAGAAAACCTCAATGCCACACAAGCAGGGGATGGCTAGACAGAAGAAAATCAGTTTTGAGGAGAATCGGAGAGTGGACAGTGGGCTGGGTGATGACTTGGATACGTGTGCATCCAGATTACTCAAGAGGGAAGGCAGCAACTCAACTGGTAGTACTCCCAGAATTCCAAAACAGATGAGTGTTGAGAGTGATGGAGAATTTGAGAACAGAACTGAGCTCGTGCTTAGCAGAGGAAGCTCGTTTATGTCCTCACTGGCGACAAATGATGATCTCACTGACTCACACTCCATCAGCGACAGCATGTCTGGTGACAACAACAGCACAGTCAACCTCTCAGAAATTGAATTTGCGGACTCAGAGATGAGGGAGAGGCGCTCACTCAGTGACAGTGTTTTTTTAGGAGGGTCTCAAGAACTGGATGCCAGTATCTGGGCAGAGTCTAAGGATTCAGACTGTCTTGTCAGCGATGGAGACTCAGCTCCAACCTCTCCCCGTCCACCCACAGCGTCAAGCGTGAGCTCCACTGGGGATGTAACCGAAGGACTTCGCTTGGATCAGAGCAGGACTGTCATCAGCAAAGTGTCCAAGTTGGTGCAGCGTGCATTGATCCGCCGGCCACGGGTCACATCAGGTTTGACCTTGGGTCACCTCCCTGAGCCCAGAATGTCGGGACCGATGCGTAAAAAAGGCAAGACACGCTGGTTTGTTTTGAGTGATTCATGTTTGTACTGCTTCAAGAACAACTCACCCGAAGCCGAGGCAGAGGCTATCATCGACCTGTCCTCATACTCGGTTGCCTTGGCAACAGAACAGAAAGAGGATGGGCAATCCATTGGTCTGCTGAAACTCACCCATTCCTCTGGGAAGAAGGTGCTGTTTTCTATCAACAACATGGACACAGCTCAACAGTGGTTGGATTATCTTGAGGAGGCAATCCAACAAGCAAGTTCAAGCAGAGCCTCAAGATCAGACAGTCAAAAATCAACATCTTCTAATCCAGATTCCCAAGGTCATGGCTCCCTGTTGAGTAGACTCTCTCGGGAGAGCTTTGAGGAGAGTTATGGATACTTTGAAAGGCAGAGTTCTCTCAGAGCCCAGAGGGATGCTGTTCACAATGCAATTACCGAATTGGAAAAGGCAGAAAAACAGGTGAGGCATTTATCAATGAGTTTGCTATCCTGAACATTAATTAAATATTTAATTAACTTTCATCTAAGAAGAAACTTGTTTAGTTTTTAGTGTAACTTTTGGGGTTTCTTCAATCCAGTATTAAAGGACTGTCTGTTAGAATATACAAATAATTCACTTCAATCAAAATGTTACTTATTAAATTACAGATTTGGTCAGAATATCACAATCCCACTTGTAAAAAAATAAAGAAATTGCTATGGTACTTGTCAAAGTGCAGAAATGTTTTGCTAAAACCATGGAAACAGGTTGCCAGGCAACCATCAGAGATTTGAAGTACACATGACTGACTCTGAGCTAATTTTGAATCGTCTCAGCATAAATTAATTAATTAAACTTAAAGAAAAACATTTCTCATGAGCTTGGATGGTGTGTGATTGACAGTGAACCAAGTGACATCCTGAATGTATTGCCCTGTAGTCTGACGGCTGTAATTTAGTTCTTCTCCATTGTTCCTCAGGGTTCCAGCTCTGGAAGTTGTGCTTCAATTGAGGAAAAACCAAAATCATATTCATTCTCAGATGCTGTAAGTTCATTGGTGCTCGTAAGTATAGTGTTTAAGTAACGTATAAATGAAGGCTGGCAGTAGATATGGCACCTACGCTTGTCATGTCATTTGTCATCGATTTCATGTAACAGTCACTGACATGCCTGCCTAGGGTTATTTGGTTTTAGATTGTCATTAACGGTGCTAGTCTTCCTTTAAACTGGGCGTCAGGGATTTTTACCTGACACACATACTTCTCCTTTCAAAGATCAGGAACCTCTTACAGCCAAAGTACTTTTGCACACTTGCTGCCAGCTGGAGCCAATTTCATAGAGCTGCTTAAGCACAAAATTTGCTTAAGCGGGAAAAACTTTGCTTAATAAACAAAGGTTACCTGCTCAAACTCTATCTGATTGTCATGCTAACCAAAAAACAGCTAAATGCAATCCCAAAACAATATACATGTACATCACATGGAATTTTGGCTGGTTGCCTGATTTATCAAGTAAGGTTTTTTCCTGCTTAAGCAAATTTTGTGCTTAAGCAGCTCTATGAAATTGGCCCCAGGTTAGTTAAGAAACCCTTGGTTGTGTCTCAGTTTAATTTCAGTATATGTACATACTTCAGGAATTCCCTGCACTGAGTACACAGGTATATACATTCATCAGCACCAGACAATTGAAATCACTGGCATAGCAACCTTTTTGAACAAACTGTCTGAATAGGCATGGTGCCGGTGCCCTGTAACCCTATCCCAAATTTGAAAGCAGGCATTGCTGTCTAGAATTAGCAACTCCTGGCAATGAATTATCAGCCGCAGGGAATTTCCCTGTCCTGGCCTACATGTACAACAGTGACTCGCTCTTTCGCTCCATTTGAAAGAAGAAATATCACAATAGAGCGAAACATATCAATCCATTCATTTCGGGAGGTCACAGTTTTTCTGGGACCTTCGGAGGTGGGGCTGGGACAAAAGCGGGCAGACCACTCACAGAAACTGACGGGTTGGTGGCTATGTATATATTTGGTTTGTAATCCTCTGGTCTTGTTTGGGCAGGAGAGTGCCTCACCGTCATCGGCAACCACCTGGCAGTCCTCTGACGATCTGGACCTGACGCACAAAAAGACCAACCCCGCCCTCCGTATGGTCAAACGCTCTGTCCAATTGTCACCGAAGTCTAAACGGAGTATGCAACAGATGCCCATACCTGCGTCTGACGTCGTGGATCCAACATTATCTGGGAATCTTCATGTGTTTTTAAAGAACAAGGGAACTTGGAAAACGTAAGTCTTGCTTACAGATATGTTCATTCTGGTAGTAAAAGGAAACTACTATTAAGACCAACAATCCATTTTTGGGACCCTTTCTACCAATGTCCCTTGTTGTGGGGTTAACGCATTCTTTTGTGATTGTGGCATATTTATTACATGTGGTTGCATGCAGTAGAACACATTGTGGTTGTGCGACAAGCTAAACTTGTCAAAGAAAGGGAACGACACCTGGCATGATTTTTGCCTTGCTGGAAAATATGTATGGGGCCTTGGTGGAAATATAAGTTCACACTAGACCTCATTTCTCTGATACACGTGTGTACGTCAAATCTTCGAATAGGCCAACATGTACACTGTACAGGTAGGGCTTTTAACTACTCACACCGTATGCACCAACCTAGAATTCTGGTGTTAGTGTCCCATTGTTTAGTGCTGTTATTGTTTTGTTGATTGTTCTTTATTTGTTTAGGTCATGTTTTGGGAGAAGCTTCGAAATGTTTTTATTATAATGACTTACAATGGCTTTTGAAACCCATTATTTGAAATGGTTTGTTAGATGACAATTCAAGATTTTTTTTTGGAACTTCTAAAAATAACTTAGATATCAAATAAATGCAGATCGATAGCCAACTAACTGTATGTTGACTTTTTGTTCACTGATCCAGTCCGGAGTCGAACTTACACAAGACACATTCAAATGTATGTAATTTTACAGGGTAAATAAGAACTGTGCTTCAGTACAAGCATCACCTTTGTCTGTCGATTAAAATTTGTTGTCTGACAAATTTCATTTACATTTGTACATGTACATGTCGTGACCTGTGTATGAAAGATGTTAAGCCCCATCTTTCCTCCTTCCTATCCTAAGTTACCCAGTTTTTGTTCTTCAGAGTTTTAACCTTTTGAGAGTAATGGTGAGTCTTTTGCTGCTGAGTGTTATTAACAAACAAACAAACAAACAAACAAAAAAAACAGTGTTCATATTTACATAAAAAAGTATCTGTAAAATCTATCCCTTTATCAGGTCTTGGGCTGTCCTGAAAGACGATTGGCTCTATTTTTACAAGAAACCCACAGATACAACAACTTCTGACATCGTTGAGCTGCCAAACTACAGCATTCAACGAGAACACTCTGTGGATGACGGAACTCCACTTGTCAGCCAAAAATTTATGTTCAGCATTCTGCATAAAGACGTGAGCATAACTTGATTGAAATAAACATTTCTCAAAGGTACAGATGCTTAGGACAAAGTGGAAAGTTTGTGAGCAAAATGTTGAACCTATGAAGCTCATGGGATTTTTGTATGAAACCATTTAAGCCAGCAATGTGAAGATGCAGACTTTCACATTTTGGGATAAGAGAAAAATAGGTCAAAAATACAGGTCAAAAGACAGACCTGCTGCAGAAAATGGTTTTCATCGGCAATCTTGAAAACTACATGTAGGTGTCCTCTTCATTAAAATCAGACAAAAAATGCGTCTCGCATTTACTGCTAGCCCTGTTACTGCTAGGTTTAATCAGAACATAAATAGTATGGAATTGCAAAGCACATGTACACTGTTTGGGGGAGGGAGATAGAGGGGCTTTTGCAGGGGTTCATTTTAAATGCATCAAATCAATATTCTTCATAGGGGTCTAAGCGTACAATCATGATGGGTGAAACGGAGAAAGAGACAAGAGCCTGGATGGAGAAGTTGAAAGGTCACTCTAAGAAGCACAGCAAGACACTGGATGGTCTAAATTTAGAGAGTGGTTTGTCTTCACACCAGCTAGCACCATTAGGTAATAAATCAATTCCCTACTCTGTAGAAAACTTTACAGAGCCTAACTGGGCTCTCAAAAAATCCTCCATTGCATAGAATCCCAACAGCATAGTCTTTGTAGCAAATAGACGTGGGCCAACTGTATTAAAATTGAAAGTGAGGTCAACTTTTCATTGTTTGGAAATTCTGAGTAGAAAGGAAAGCAATTTCCTGACAAATGAGTCGCCGTCAACTCTGATGAATAATTTAAAATTTGTAATCAAACATGTCTCAATATTTTAAGCCAGGTTTTGAAGAAACTGAAAGGGAGGCAGTCTGATAAATAGTCTGGTACATGTACCTGCACCATCCAAATCAAGACATTTGATTCCAGGAACGATATGGAAATGACTTCCTCAAGAATAAGGTCTGCTGTTGGATTCTACAATGTACCTCTCTTAACCATGCAGCACCTGTTAGGTGTGCATGTTTCTTACAGGGTCAAGGTGGATTGGGTAATTGCAGGGTTTGATGAAACTGTGAAGGTATTGTCAAGTGCAGATAGGGGATTAATCCAAGGAATGCTGGTATGATGTTTGTGAAGCGTCTCCCTTATTGATGAATATGTGAAAAATAGGGGCGATTCACGATAATGCGCCTCCAAGAGTTTGCAAACGCGTTGGCCAATCATAATGCACAAAGTCTGTCGACCCTTTCCAAACACGCATTGGGTGGACAGATTTCGGGCTCTGTGATTGGCCAACGCGTTGCAAACTCTTGGAGGCACACAATTGTGAAACGCCCGTATTAACATCAGGAAACAGCATGTCAACTAATTTCCATCATGTACCTCGCATTGGTGGGTTAATCTCATGAAAATTTGCCTTATGTGTAAACTGACATGACTAAGTGCACTCTGAGATTGCAATCAATGCAATCGTAAAGTCTACCCATGGGCGTTAATCTCTTACGAATAATGGTTGGAGGGGATAATGCACTGGTAATGTATGTCAGTACTCTTGAAGGACAGCACATTATCTGAGGCCTCTTTACTGGAATGGACCCCCTACATGTAGCTCTTACAGGTACAATCCTCTTGACTCTACTGTGTTGGGTGGGGTTGGTTAGCTTAAACAACAAACTGGACAACTTGAGGTTCCTTATTCAATCATGATGGGGACGAGGTTTGTCAGAAATTTCGTCATTTTGGGATTGTTCAAACTACCTCCCTTAAAACCTGGAAAAGCCTGCATTTACCATGAAGGTGTTTTTATGTATCAAAGTTATCAATGCACAACACAAGAAATAAGAATTTTAAGGGATGCCTCAGACAAGCACTGATGTGTATCACAGAGCATACAAGCACTGTAGGACCCCAGAGCCTCGGATGATGAATGGTGATGTTTCATTTTCCTTCAATAATAGATCCCCCCTGCATGCTTTTCCCATAAAAGGTCATGAATGTTTCGGCTTCTCTGTTTTGTGTATTTTCCCATGCAGATTTGAGTGGAAAGCAGCACACTAGCCAGAACCAGGCAGAGCTTCACAAGAAGAGACTACTGCTGGAAGTCCTCCAACAGAATCAGCTGTCCAAGATTGAACAGGGGGCACCAGACAATCTAGAGGTGGGAGTGACATTTGGGTGCTCCAAAGAAAGATTTTGGATTTTGTGTTCCTTTCTTTTCTCATTTTGTAAACAATTTGTTTGTTTGTTTTTTGGTAGGGATCGTCAGAGAAGGACGATCCACAACTTGCCAAGAAAAAAGCCGAGATTCTTGCCAAGTACCAGAAGGCTAACGACGAGGAAGAGGAGGAATTAGTCAGGTATCTGACTATCCAGAATAGACGACGGATGTCAGCACAGGTCAAGAAGGACAATCTTGAGAAAACCATTGGATACAAGACCAAGAGAAGGGTGGAGAGGCTTGGCAGTGTAGAGGAATCGGCTATGGAGGATCAGATCCGAATCTTGAATGCCCGGCTAGCGAGCATCAGGGCTGACATAGAAGCCAAGAGCACGCAGAAGACTAATCGCCTCCAAGCTCTGAAGGAGAAGAAGGAGGTGGAGCTGCAGCTGCTGGAGCAGCAGGAGAGGTTGTCACGCTATCGACGACTTGCTCAGGACGCACTGCAGGGTGGTGTAGATTTTCACAGAGCCCTAGCAGGGCTGGAGGAAGAGAGCTCGACAGATGTTGGGTGCGCAGCACTGGGTGTAGACAAGAGTTCCAGAGAATCTCCCAAGGAGCAGTCAGCAGTTGAAGCCGATGAGACTGATAGCTCATCAATGCCAGAAAGGCATCCTGAGACAGTTTTGGCCTTGCCAAGGGCCACGGCTGAAACTTCACCACCCAGATCCCCCAAAACTCGGTCAAGGAGACTGTTGCCCAGTCTGCCCTACAGAAAGGGAGAGAAGCCAACTACATCAACAGAATCCAAGGAATATTATCAGTCTGACAGTAATCCTGTAGATGAAAAACGTCTCCGGTCGCAAACAGCGGCTGACTCGTGCCAAAGAACAGATGCCCCCTCTGAGAAAAAGTCCAGTCCGTTGGCCCGGCTGCGAAAAATTAGCCTCGGCTCAAAAATGGCACCGGACCCAACTCAGATCGGGAAAGAGTCCAAGAATCGTAAGATAAGCACAGGGATGAAATCGTCTGCATCATTTGATGAGGGACTGAGTGTAGGAAAACTTCTGCCAACCTTGAAACAATCTTCATCAAGCACAGACCTGAGTGTTTCCGCTTCAAGAGAAAGTCCATCCCCGAGGCGAGTGGGTGGTCACGAAGGAAAGGAGACCAGCACACCAAGCCCGCACAGACGTCGTAAAATCAGTGTTCCTATCAAAATGCCATCGATGGACAACTTGTTCTCTTCTTCACCCTCCAAAAAGGAGAGAGAGCGGAAGGCGAGTACCAGCAATACCCCAAAACTGGACAATGGAGCAGTGTCTAAAACCAGTGCCAGTGCTGACAGAGCTCCAATTTCTTCGCCAAGCGACTCGACAGATATCAATGGGAATGTGGCTCAAGCTCAAAAAACTCAAGAGGAAAACTCGCAGACCAAGCAGCCTGCTTTGAAAGATGAAATAGACCCTGAAGTTCTCCGAGATATTGAGGTGAGTTTAATGTTTTACTAAGCCCGCCTCAAAAACAATGCTTAAGGTATTAGGCCTGCATGATTATCTGAGAAGGTAGTGAGGAAGTTTTTTTTTATGTTAGAGGACACTTTGGTTTTGTTTAATTAGTTGTTTCAATAATCACTTTGAAGTTGCAGCTTCCTGAGGAGAAATGGCATTTTTACTTTTAGCCTAATTATGAAACCTTGAAAATTCACACAACTTGTCCTTGTCAGGAGTAAACTTTGATTAATTTCTGACCAGAAAATTGACTTTTGTTTGCTTAGGAGTTTGAAATGATGGCTCGCAAGGCTCTCCTGGAAGCTGGCTGGATCATCCGAGCCTAACACTGCCTCAGACACGAGACTACAACGTTCAAGTGAAACATCTTGGCATGTATCCACACTGTGGATTACTCACTGACGGCACTGTTATTCAAGTTCAAATGCATTTAGGCATCACTGTGAGGTTACCATGAGTAAATCTCTACTTTTCTCCGTTACAGTTTTGCCACCTGCAGGTCAGTACAGGCATAAAACTGTTTCAAATAGAAAACAACTTTCAGCATTCAACTTTTTGGCACTGGCTGCGGTACCAGAACGTGGGCAAAAAGAGATTTTTTTTCTCTCTCGTCATTTACAATGTATCAGTTCCTCATTTTTTTAAAGTCTTAAGGTGCCTTTCCATATGTGCGTCAACACTTGCACTATGTGTTGTGTTTCCGTAGTCAAACGCAACACACTCTAGTGTTATATTAATGGAGTGGATTTGTGTCCGTGAAAGTGAAACGCATGAATGCATCGCATACACCACACACCTTAAAAACATACACAAATGGAAAGCTGCCTTGACTTTTTTACAAATTTAAATGCTCACTTGAATGGCAGGTTTGGTTCAAATAACTAGAAGTACAGCCAGCATTCTTCTAATGTAACACCTAAGCACTCAACCTCATTGATGTTGCAAAGATTTCAATTACAAAAAATAGTTAAAATACGACCAGGTGATCTTCAGTGATTTTTTTTTTAATGAAAAGGATTTTACTCATAGTCAATATTCTAAGAATCATTTATCTTATCCGGATGGGCTTTCATATGTAAGCAGACAGTTTAGAGTTAAAACGGGTAAAAGTGCCTGCATTTTTAATTTGGATCGCAACATTGCCGTTTATTTGCATGAGATTTTGACGATTCCGAAGTGTTTTGTAGGGAAAAAAAGGTGCTTTAGTCATGTCCTGCGATTGTAGATCTATGCACTTTGAATAGGGAATAACTTAAAAAGTGCAAAGGGGGTTGTTTGTATACTTATTCGTTAAATGTATGCGTCTGTTTTTAAAGAAATGATATTTGTATTGCTTTATACTCAAATGCTAATATTACCTAGCTGAGTGCCGAGTGATATATTTTGTGTAATCTCCTTTAAATTGAAGTACATTTAAGAGAACATGCACCAAAATTGCCAAGTCTGCAAGCTGTGCTAATGTATGCTTTAGTTTGTAATTTATATTTTGCTGGGAGATAAAGCCAATTAAACCGATAAAGCCTTTCTACCTATTAGATTAAAACAAAATTGATTTACAAACTTTATTTCGTCAGTTTTGTCTGGTTTTATTTTACGTACAAAAGCTCGAGTTGTTGCACTGTACATTATTAATTAATTAATGCATTAACGTACTTCAAAGTACTGAGCAATTACACTGTCATGTACATAGGAACCCACTGTGTATATGAAAATCTAATTTCTAAGTTGGAGATACACATGTGTACATGTATGGATGCCTGTTCCCATATTCAGTAAACCTTGGCTAATGTAAGCAAATAATCTCCATACGGTGCCCCTGCCTGTTATGCTCACTGGAAAACTTTTAACAAATTTGAGAATGACCTTGAAAAAACTGAGGTGAAGCTGGGATCATACATACCTTTGCTGGCGACACCTAATGCACGGCATCCCCCCAAAGGGCATTTCAAATCAGTCCTGTGTGGGAGAGTTTTATTTCAAATTATACATTTAAAAATATTGCCTGCAATTCGTACTTGGGCTCTATTGCTGTACAGTACGCCAATCTTGAAATGGTGAACCCAATTTCATTTTGAACTGGGGGGGTAAATGCATCCCCCCCCCCCCGAATTCTGCATTCCAAATGCCTGCCAAGATTGAAAGTTAAGTAGAGCATTGAGCTATTATAGCCCCATGAGCAGTGTAACGAAGGTAGGCATGGTAGGCTAAATTATATCGATACCTGAGTGCATGCCTTGGTGAGTTTATCGGTGAAAATTTTACATGATTTTCTAAGACTCTTTCACACAAGTCATAAAACATTTCCAATGTGAAAATAGGGCTGTTGGAGCTTCCAAGGTTATTTCATACCAGAGCAGATTATAGGCCTACAAATAAAAACAGCGCCAAACAACCTCTCCCATGATAGAATTATGTTCTAATATTTTTCCCACTTTCCGGACACCGTAACAGGAAGTTCCCAACAAAATCATGGGATCGTTTCGATACTTAATTTTCCCCCATAATTCCCAAAGCATATTTATCACGATAACCGTACCAGTACATATTCAAAGGGGCGATTTTGAACGTCCTCAGCGAAGGTAAGGCAATACTGTTTGCAGGAAGTCAAGCATGCCAAAGTAGCACCATGCGGTGACAAGAAGATTATAATTAGGCCTAACGTTTATGTCAGAAGCTGCTTCTCCAAACACGAACTTTTTACGAAACATTGACATGGTAACACTTAATATAAAAAAATGCCTTTATTACACAAATTATGTCATTACTGGGTACTTACCACATAACACTGAAAGACGTCAATTTCATGCCCCAAAATCCACTAAAATAATGTAAATCTGTACAAAAATCAGTCTGCATACACATACATTGTAAGTAGGTCATCGTCAGTGCATGCAGACGAGACGCAGGTGCATGGATGTATGTTGTGGAAGTACAAGTGTAAACCTAAAGGTGGAGAAATAATGAATTCGGATTGGCTGTAACTTTTGAGCAGATTGTTTCTCAATGCCTGGGTTTTTTTTTAAATGACTTCCAAAAATTCCAAAAGGCAAGCAAAACCAAAACACATAATTGGCACCAGTACAATTCATCAGCTTCTAACGTGGTTTCAATTGCCCCACTCGAATTCCTTGCAGTGAGTACTTCATGCATGGAACCATGGAAACATAGTGATTCACACTCCCTGCACAGTACAGAGTGCATGATTGGCTGACATCTCAATGGCTCTTTTGGCACCAGCCAATGAAAACTCTGTACGTTTGCATAAATCTACAAGAACATTAACAAGACCAAAGTTGTACCGTACAGTACTACAGATGCCCAATTCTCTTTTATGGTTAATTTCCAGTCAGCAACACCACAAAATGTGTGGATAACTCGTACGGAAAACATTCCAATTGTGGAATAAAATACAGTTGCACTTCCCTAGTTGCATAAAAATGGCATCAACAAACATTAAGAGAAAAATTACAAAAATATCTGAGTATCCTATGGGTTGAGGGTTGTTATGGTGGGCCTCATTAAACATGTTAATTTTCTCTGATAAAGGATTTATGAACATCTGCTGACGCCTTACAGCTCAAGTTGTCATGAAAGAAAGCACTAGTTTCAATGTGTGGAAAAAAAAGCTAAATCAAAGAAAATTATATGGGTACGGTCAACAAATAAACTTTAAATAAAACTCAAAGCAATTTACATGCAAATTATAACAAACCTATAAGCAAATCTTGACAGTGCACACCTGAGCCTGCAGGAAACAGATGTGAAACAATGTAGCCAATGTTTTCCAAATCACAACCTGTCCAAAACATCATAATATTTACTGATCGAACACGTACCTACTCATTGTTTACATGCACAGCATGTACTGGTGGAGATACAACATTGGAAAATATAAAAAAAAAATCAACATTTTCATACACATGACCTCCAAACACACAAACATCTTTAAAAAAGCAATATTAAAACAAACACTACACTTGTGAATCAGGCAACAATTACTTGACTAACTTAAAGATGGGGAATTCCACTGAAAGTGTATTGTAAAGAAAGTGACCAACTGTGCAACTGCAGAATTCTAAAAACTCTGGACAGCACCATATTTTAGATGATTCTAAAAATGTACAATTTGTATTTATATTGACATGACTTACAAGCTGCATGGGTAACACATGGATCCCATGGCTTGATCATTTTCTCTTGGACAAGATAACTCACAAATTTGAAGCCTCAAAATGGAGCTGGAGGGGTAACCAGGCTTTGGACATGCTGAGGTTGTGATTAACCCACCAGAAGGATGTGAGCCAGGTTCTTGTCCAGAGCCTGAAATGGACCAAAAAAGCCTCAATACCTCGTTAAGACCTGAAATTAGCCAACCTTTTAAATGAAAAAGCCCAAAATTGGGTTTTTGCCTGAAACTGGAATCCCTGCCTTGGCTTCTTGTGAGACAGGAATATGCGATCTGTCAGTACCTCAAATAAAAAACCAGTTCTTTTCCTAAATTTCGGAGCATACAATTTGTCTAATGAAGCCTGATTCTAAATTATTTCAGACTTAAATCAAGAACCAAATCATACTGACTAGGTGCTTATGAATGATTATAAAGATGAACAAAGAAGTTGACTTTGTTCATCTTTATAATTATTTCAGACTTGTATAAAAATCTAAATTAGGTCTCAATTCAGTTAAATTAAAACTGAACATACGAGTCATTCTATCAATTTAGGGTCCAGAAATGTAACCTGCTTTGTCCGTAATATTTGACCTCAGTCTGTAATCTGACATGGAAAAATCATTGAAATTCACTTCAACCGACTGGTATTTTGATTTGTTTGGCAGGTAACATGCATTACTTTATAACTCTTTGCATTTCAAGAGTGTGTGCTAAACTCTAAAAAACTTGTACCCAAAATTTTTAGAATGACCAAGACCAACTTTATTATCACGTAATCAGCTGAAGTACCTCTGTGTAATTACAGCAAAGTAAAAATCTACAAATATATCATGTTTAAACAAAATGTTCAATTAAAATGCGATCTTCAATATACAGAGTCATTCTGAAACAAATATAGAAATTTAAAAACTGCAAAGGTAGAACTCAACAAATATTCTTCCTTGGGAAGATAAAGAAACATGAACAAATGAAACCAAATTGCCCATGTTAATATTCTTGCAAAATTCCCAAGACTGGCAATATTTCTAAATATTTGTGAAATGCTTTCAGGAATACTCTTTTTTCCCCACTTGTTCAAAACTATCCACATAATTCTCAGTTACCCCAGAATTCCCAAGTGTGCTTGGATTCTGAATGCCCTCTTAAAGGCTGGACAAAAGTAATTTAGGAATGCCATCCACTGAAAAGATGACCTGGCCAATAATATTTATAATGATCAATGGTTTTGTGGTCATTTTTACTTTGACAAAAACATGCCTTGACAACGAAGCTCACATGAATCTTAAATATACACGTACATAGAACATGAAAAATTAAATATTCACAGACATCTCGTGCTTTTCCACACTGAGGTGGAAACTAGATCTCATTCCTGCAGAATTTCACCCTTGGAAATATCAAAAGCTTATTTATACAGATAAGGCAATGCATTTTTAATAAATGAACTTGGAAAAAGTAGGGAATATGTTTAAGCATCTAGGATCATTTCTGTTTTGTAGGAATCTGAAGTACTAATGTACTATAATTTCTTGGCACAGTGTGTCATCAGCCATCTTTGTCATGTTTCCTGAATACACAGCACCCCTCAAATACTTAGGATCAACCCTTCCTTGAGGCACCGGACTACTGTTGTCAGCTGCTTGGTTTTAGTTGCATGAACTGCGTTTCCTGTCTTCACGAGCTCCGACAAGAATTCCTCAATTTCTAAAGTGTCTTTTTCCCTCGGTTAATACAACTAGAACCATTGCCTAACCAGATTTACCATACAAAAACATTACATATTTTCTAGTTTACTATCCTTGTTAAGTTAATGAGGCATATTATCTTATGAAGAGCTTCAGACAAACGGGACAGTGAGCTGCAGGATGCAAACGACCGATAGGTAGCACTGTTCATGAGCATCCAGAATAGGACTGCATCCAAATCGAGGGCTAGATCTTTGTCTTCACAGACCGCAAACAGACGTAGCCGCAGTCCTAGTCTCACCACTTAATGCCCAAATAGATATACAGCTTGGCAACAGTGCTCCCTATTGGTGGTCTTTATACAGGAAGCGTAGAAATTTACAACTGCTCTGTACAAAAATATTGTCATCAACATATTAATTTATGGTCTGAAATGGCCTCTTGAAAAGATGAACACTTGCTATTCATCTCTCGAACATCTGAAAATGAAAGTATAAATGGTGAAGGCTTGTGAAATGGTGAAGGCTTGTGAACGTAAAATGCTCAAGCAAGAACTTCAAGACAGTGACAACATAATACTTCCAAAGTGCAGAGGAAGTAAAAAACAAGGATGTTTCTGTGTTTGGAATCCCAACAGTTGGAATGTGAATCCTTGCCCCTAACCTGCCTTATAAGCAGTGTCGTATTCAAGTTCATCACAAGTCCCTTCACAGTCCTGTCACAAGTCCCTTTACCAGGGCCAGTCATAAGTATACAGGGTGAACAATGACAAAGGAATGCTTTTGTCATGGCTCATTTGAATGGCTTGTGACTTGGCTAAAGACAGGGACATGGACTTGCAGGGACTTGTAATGGACTTGAATACAACACTGCCTACAAGACCTACATGTATGCTTAGAATAACTTGATACAACATTTGGTGTGAATCGTTGTCAACATCTTTTTCCATTGTTGATCAAATTGTCTGTAGGCATGCAACTTACGCTTTGACAAAAACAAGGAAATTCCAAACTTTACAAGACTCCGTACAGTGTTTTTCAATTTTCAGAGGCATGAGTGTGGTGCGGAAGACAGGGAAAGCAGCTGACCCGAAGGAAAAGTTGTATACCAGTGTCTGTATATCTGTCAGGCTGTCTGTCAGGCTGTCCGCCAGGCTGTCCGTCAGGCTGTCCGTCAGGCTGTCTGTCAGGCTGTCCGTCAGGCTGTCTGTCAGGCTGTCCGTCAGGCTGTCCGTCAGGCTGTCCGTCAGGCTGTCCGTCAGGCTGTCTGTCAGGCTGTCTGTCAGGCTGTCTGTCAGGCTGTCTGTCTTTCTACAGATGCATGTGCTACGTTTCTGTCTCTTTACCTTACGCATATCTGACACATTTCCACCCCGTGCAACCTTCAGTCCAGGGGAAGTAGCTCCTAGCTGTTCTTTCTTTTGAGTGCTGGAAATCTCCTTGCGGACGATTTCAGCTGATGCAGAGTCCTGACAAAATGATTTTCAACTACAAGTCAATCACTGTATGACAGAGTAGAATATGCAGCTACAATTCTGGGAACAAAATCGCAATTAATGTAATGTGCTGGACGAATAAGGAGCAGCAACGGCAAACTGACAAACTGCTGGTGCTTATTACTCAATGTTCAGAATTAACCGTAACTTCATGCAAAACGTAATCATCATGCAAGGGCACAAGCGAGGGCGTTCCACATAACAATTCTGTAGCCACCTGCTCTCAATGTCATTTTAATCATGGACAGTCTGTAACAAAACCACATACAAAATTGCAGGCACACTACTCCCATACTAAATCTTTACAAACACAAATCATGCAAAGCTTGCCCTATAAACTACTTGCTTACAAGTGTGATGACACGGATTTCTACTTAGTGCAACTTTCTAGTCCTCTTTTGTGTGTACAAAACCAATTTGACATCCCTTCTTGGTTAGTCTTCATACGGACCATACCTGCCAACCTGTCACACTCCTTCCTGAGGTCGGACATTACCACACAATAGATCAAAAAGTATTTAAATGAGCCCTCAGTTCATTTCAAATTCTAATCTATTTATGTGGTGATGCCTGACCTCAGGAAGGAGCACGACAGGTTGGCAGGTGTGCATGACAGGTGCACTTTTTATAAACATTTCCAATTTTTCATGCTATTCCGTACAAATGAGGGTGCTGTTGCTGTGACGTCAATTCAAAAGAAACTGAAGAAGCTGTCACACTGAGCTTTCCTCCTGAAATGAAATCAGGCTTTTGTTCACGGATATGCAAATTCACATGAGCATAAAAATGAAAAACACCAAAATGCTTTTGTGTCAAAACGAAAATTGAAAATAAGTGTGACACATAAATGCATACCCAAGGAGTGCGTTAAAAAGATTCACACTGAATGGGCCCTTTAAGTCAAGCCCATTATATGAGTCTCACTAAAAAGCAATGTTACTTACGACCAAAATGGCACAGTATGGTATGTCACTTTGAGGAGAAAATTTGCTCAGGGGTGGAAACTAGTGACTCACAACATTACAGCATATGGAACCGTGCAGAAACAAAAACGTTTACCGAAGAAACAAACTTGTCACCAAAGAAGTTCTTCTGTGCATTTGTTTCCATCTTGTAGCTAACTTACTAAGCTCCAACTTCTTGAGGCGCAGAGCGAGAGGCGGTCTCGTGTCCTGCGCACCATCATGGGGTCCTTAAACGACATTTCTTCGACAATGGACATACGTAATCTCTACGAGGTTGCCACAGTAATGCAATCCAGTAATTGTGCGATGCATAAAGTGGGGTGCAAAATGGATTAATTACATATGGACATCATTCCTTCATCCATCCAAGGCAACCGGTCATTCTGTTAGGTTGTAACTGGTCAAAAACGTCATTTTTGGTGTCTCAAGCAGGAAAAGATGCAGAGAATCAAACCACAGTTTTAATACACACCTCTCCAGTTAGTTGGGACGTATTGGGGTGCAAGGTTCAAACACCTACAAAACAACTACAATACAATTTGGAAATCAACGTCTACCACCCAAACCAAGAGACAAACAGGTGCAATGACATTTCAACTTTCGGAAATTGTCCACATTTGGCATTCCATGGCTATGGCTCAAGATTTTGCCACTGATGCATTACAGTGAATAGCCGTAGCCGCATAAAACAAAGCCCATTCAGAGCACCCCCTCATCCTCCCAAATGACAACTAACTTCTACCCCCTTCAATCCAAGTTTTTTCTTACCTCTTTCTTTTCCTCTTTTGTGTCGGGTCCGCCGCCCTTGCTAAACCTCTCTATCTCAGAGTTGATGAAAGCCAAACGGTTGTTACAGGTGCTCCATTCCTGTTGCACCTTCTGCAGTTCAGCATCCAAAAGTTCCTTCTGTTTTGGGTCGGTAGCCTCACGCCTTTCATTTCTAGAAATGGAGACAAAAGACGACGATGCAGTGTTCATTTGGCCCTGAGCCTCCCATGACTTCTCCAATATCCCTCCCTGTTCAGGAAACTAGTGACGCCGTCTGTGCTTTTGAATAACAAGGGGGCATCAAGTCCCATAAGCCTATTTGAGGAGGGCGCTACTTGGTTTGAATGGAATCTTTTGAGTTGACTCTAAATTTACCCACTTCAAATAGCACCATCCAATTGTGTCCGCCATGCTTCAAAAAGGCTAATGCACACGCAAGTAAGATGTCAGAAAAAAAGGCTGTACAAGTGAAGAGACTAATCCCAGGAGATGCCATTACTAGGTAGCATTATACTCATGCAGGCATTCTTAACTTGAGTCAGCTCGCCCACTTTGCCTAGTCACAATACCCTGTTGAAGACGAATGACACGTGTGCGTACTGCCTGCAAACAAATATGGCTGCCCCAAAGTAACCGCTTCAAATTCAGGTCGGCAGATTAGTCTACAGTGTTTTACAATATGTACGGGATTACGTAAGTCCCAAAAAAGGTAACAAGTTGATCCATGGATTGGGTGTGAAGCAACACCTGTAATGCTTCAAAAATCCTGCAAAACCTCGAGGCTAATTTTGAAGGAAGGAAGTGGGACCTAAGGATCCTGACAATGCTCTTGTCGGCATTACCTGAGATCTATCTTCCGCTTGGTCACCACTCGTCGCTTTTCCTCGACTTCTTTCCTTTCAATCTCCAAGCGATCCACATCCAGAAGATGGCTCTTGTCAGATTTTTCAAAAGCAGACACTGTTCTCCTTCGGACTGAGGGGAAAAAAAGGAAGAGATGGATAGAGTTGAATTAAGATTATCAAAATAACAGCGAGCTCCAAAATTTGAAGCAATATCTATATATTGCATTCAAGGAAGCTTAATGCAGCCACATTCAAATAAACAAACTTGATTGGCCTCAAAAAACAATCCACATTGTTTCCCGAAGAGGAAATACAATTCCTGATTAAATAATATCACTTCTAATGTCTATATTATTTATCACAGTTGCCTACCTGTATGGCATAACCTTCTCAGATTCTTTGCTTTTTAGCCGTTAATTAAAGGTCAGGAAAATTTCCCAATGCCTGAGCAAGTTATAATATACAAAGACTTTCCACACTTCCTGCTTCCCCGCTTCATACTTCACATGAAAGCAAACATGAATTTACGACATCAGGTAAAATATTCCCATTACGAATTCTTGAAGTTTTACACATTTCAATGCAAATGAAATGTTGCTGCGAATCTTTTGTGACGTCGGATTTGCTTTTGTGACGTCAGATTTCCTTTTGTGACGTCAAATTTGCTTTTGTAATGTCAAATTTGCTTTTGTGACGTCAAATTTGCTTTTGTGACGTCAGATTTGCCTGCAGTATGGACCATATGACTTTCCATACTCCTTATCTCCCCCTTCTCCAGCATCAAAATTCCTCATCATTCTTGGTGAAACAATCTGCCCATTTTCCCTTTATAAGGGGCAACTGCAAGCATTCATGACACTTCCTGCAATCCTACCAGATTCCTTCTTCTTCCCACCATCACCAACATTCTCCCCGGGAGCCTCTTCCACTTCCTTGGCAACGACCTCTTCCTCCTTGGTGACGACCTCAACCTCCTTCCCCTTGCCTTTTTTGTCCTTCTTCTGCTTCTTCTCCTCCTTCTTTTTGGCTTTCTTGTCTTTCTTCCCACTGTCTGCATCCTCCAAGGCCTTGCCGATCTTTGCAGGAAGGGTTTCGCTTTTCTTCTTTCCATCCCGCTGGAGAACCTGAATAATCCAACAACAACTGTGAGGCGCTAGCGTGACGCAATGCCTGTAATACCTACAAAGATTTCATTTGAAAGAATGTGTCATTTCCTGATTTGGCTTGCCCCAGAACTTTGCAGAGACTTACCTGAGATCTTGCACCTTCAAAATTCTGCATTATGGTTCCCAAGAACATAGCGGGAGGGCTTCATACAACAATGTGATTATCAACATCAAAATCACCATGATCACACAACTGCTTCATTGAGGTTCCTTCAACTCTTTTTTGGTATCGAGAGGAATCCGTTTAGGAGCAGCAGGGGTGCAATGGGGTAAGAAGGCAGTTTTGAAATGCTGTTCAAACAATGGAGCACTTGAAGTATCTGTCTGCAGGCTAGTGATCTAGAGGTGCAAAGACTTAACTTTAGTTCAATAAAGTTCACTAATCTTATCTCTGCCATCACAAAAATCCTAAACAGTTTCTTACAAATTGAAAATGTCTTGGAGCTCACTCTCAAAACTTAAAGACCAAATTTTCAAGTCTGATAGAAATTTTGAGAATGAAAATGTGGACAGGCATTGTTTGTTTTCAGCTAAATGTTAGCAGTTAATGGTTTTGTGATTGTGCTGTTTGGCATTTACAGTGCTGTGTAAAATTCCCTGCAAATGTGAAGGACAGTGTTCAAGCTAGGACCAGTGCAGTGCCGGTTAAATTTTTGGATTGGACCTCTCGTAGCCCATAGCTGGGTTTTTAGGGGAATCCTAGAAGGGATTTCCCCCATGTCATCGTGAAGGCATGTTTACAATAATGCTTTCCCAATCAACGGCTGATTTGATACGAAGAAAATGAGAAATATCTTTCTTAGGTCTTTACTTACTTGTTTGAAATTGCAAAATAGTGCAAAACTGTGACTTTGTAAACTTGAAATTTGATCAAATTGGTAAATTTTCGGCAATATTTCAGTCCATTTGAACCCAAGAGCCAGGCAGAATTTTACAATACCGGGTGGTGCCGCCCGGCACTGCCCACTGTTGCTAGAACACTGGTGAAGGATTAAACTACAAGGGGCAGTTATTTTTCAGGGTTAGTATCACCTGTACCAAATAAAATTAAATGGAAATTAGTACATTTACAATATTTTCGATGAGATTTGAAAACCTCAAGTTCCGCTTACCTATCAAAAATGGATTACATGTATGAGTTAAAAAAATTATTTTCATGATGTCAGTCAATTTACCATCAAATATGACTTGAATGTTAAATTATTCATTATATTTAACGTTGAAAGTGACACTGACACTACACGTATGTTTTGCATTTGCTGGAACAAAAGGGCGCACGTTTTCAAATGAAATTGACAGTCTTTTGGTATGAACTCAAGGCATAGGTGCGCAAGTTTATGCGCATTTGATGTATAGCACGCCGAGTATGTGAAACAAATTTACGCTGGAATGTATGGTCTTTGAGCGCATGCCAACGTGTGCAAGAACCCAGAGGGGAAACATCGCACCCGTCGGTCTTTCTTTTGCCGGTCTGGGCGCAATTCAACTCAGAGTGGATACGAAAAGGACTTTAAGCAAAATGTCTCAGTTGCACAGATGGACGAGAATGTTGACAAAGGACCAACACAAAGTGAATCACATGACACACTGAACTAAGGCAGGTACAATAAACAATGTACCACGCTTTGAAAAGTCTACGGCATGAACTATTAATGGACCAGATGACACTGAGAAATGTTCTTCACTGAAATGTCTTGCTGAAGTACAGCTTCACACCACACTCACACCAAAATGATTCTTCTTTTTCTTTTCTTTGGGTGACAGGATTGGAGGTTGCTCCAAATCATCCAGCAGCTCCAGGTACAGGTCTTCATGTACGGTTTTGGCTATGTTAATGTACTGACAGCAAAACACAGCAAGCACACATAGCAAATTGAAACAACAACAGAAAAAATAGCAACTTTTAAGCAGACAAAATGCAGGTGACATGAACTGGGAAACAGGAAAAAGTTTAGTAAGCTTCCAAAGCCCGAAAGCCTGGTAGGTACTTGTACTGCAGGTATTGATTGGTACCTACAAGATATTCTTTATGGCAACTTGGCCTCTTGAGAATAGTTAGTGAATATGAAAAACCATGCCAATCAATTACTCATGCCCAAACTGACCCCAGTTTAGGCAACCAAGTTTGATGCCCTGTGCACAAATCTGATTTGAGATTTTTTGCTACTCGGCTGTACATTTGTCAACCATCCTGTGCTTAGTTTCCCATTCATATTCCTCTTTATTGAACTGTTCCCCTGTCCCTTTTTCTCGTCTTTTTTTTTCCGTACTGTTGCTTAAGTCTGATTGCTGGCACTACTGGGTTCAAACTCTTTAGCCTCCGAGCAAAATTGTTGGCATTAGGTTAAAGCAGCAGCACATGAAAGTTTGAATAGAAATGAAAACCAGATGTGGTTTCTATTAACAAGAACGAATAACACAATAAACAGGGAGTGGTGTCCGCAACCCTTGGTTCTTCGCGAACGTCAAACCTTCCCTTGATAAATGCACTGAAAATAAAACGGTAATGAGGAAAAGCCTTCTATATACTGAGCCTGGTTAAAAGGAAGATCATTTAAAAGCAAGACTAAAATTAAGGAGTCCTCTCAAAATTCGTCCAGGACAAGTTGCAGAAAAGTCATGGACATTATTAAGGGTTAAGTTGCGGGATTCTTAACCATCTTTGTTCACATTATGTCCCGCTTCTGGGGTTTGGATCAAAGGCTGGGCTCTCAAAGACACACTGTGTGTCTACTGTACCAGCAGAAAACATTGTAACAGCACAGCTTAGATGGAGCCACCTGTTGTGTGCACTGAGGCCAACTATAAACAGCCATTCACTCGTACGGGACAAATGCAGGGCTTCTTGTGGGTGAAGTCAATGTTGTCACCCACAACTTGTCCTGGACGAGTCTTGGGATGGTTCCTAAGGTATTTGGGCAGTTCTCAGACCGGTATGGTCTGAGATAGCAGAATCCCCTCAGAGAGAGAGAGAGTCCTCAGTCTTGGATGTCCTCGATTTAAAGTATCAGTTTCCTAAGCTATGGTAAAGGCTTCTTAAGAATCACTACATGATCATGATTGACGGAACAATCTCAAAATTTGCATAGATCTGCATTTTAATGAAAATATGGCTTGTTATTCCAGTGTCTCAAGATGTTCAGTTAGTGAAAGTTGAGGCAAATAGATGTGACACAATTAGGCAGAGGAGTGAAGAACTTGGAACCTGAAAATAAGGTACATGTGCAGGTTAAGTTCTTCTTAAAAATTCACTCAAGAAGTAAAAGCAGTAGATCTGTCACTGCCAGGACAAAAAAAACAAACAAATTAACCAAAAAAGGAAAGCGTTTAATTATCAGTGGCTTCCGTGGTCAATTATGGTACCAGCATGCAGCTTCTACGTGAGTATTTTATTTTCAGATGTTAGCACAGATGCAAGCTTCAAATGGTTCCAGCACAGGAGCCAGACACAACTCACAATTTTAAAGTTCTGGTAAATGGAGCTGGGGGAGTTCTTCCCTGCAGACTTTTCTTTTTCTTTGTCATCTGAAACACTGTCGTTGCTATTTTGGCGAATGGGAACATCGGTATCTTCATAGATGACGTCGTAATTTTGATTTTGCTACAATTGAACAAGATTTAATGACCTACACATGTTATCAAGTCTTCTCTAGGACTTTGTCAACAGAGAATCACATGAACAATCACATTTCTCGGTACTATCAGATCAGATAACCAACATCCTTCAAAATCCATCTGACAGGTTTAGGGGATTTTGCAGGCTAGGGGAGGATGGTATCAAGTCACTGTTACTTTCTGTATGATTTGATGGTACATGAGCAAACGAAATCACACTGGGTTACTTCGTGGTGTTGAATTTCAGGGACAGAAAAGGTGGGAAGGAGGGGCCAAGGTGAAGGTTCCAAAGAGGCCCCTTTGGCCTCGTCTGGAAAAACCAAAATTGGGTGGTGTTGAGTGGATCTTCTATCCTGTACTTGTGATCCACTTCTTAGCTCTGAGGCTTTAAAGCAGATTGGTGCCTGTGATACATACAGTGGCTTTTCTCAACCTTGCTGTTATAAGGACCAGCCCAAGACCAAAGATTTGTATTTTTTCACATCGAACTATAGGAAGTGACTTATGAGAATTCTCCTCCAAACTCGGGCGATTTACAATAGTGCGTCTCTGAGAGTTTGCAGCACGTTCGCCAATCACAATGTGCGAAATCTGACGACCTTTTCCATGTACGCATTGGGTCGACAGATCTCGTGCACTGTGATTGGCCAATGCGCTGCAAACTCTGGGAGGCGCACTATTGTGAAACGCCCGTATTATCAAATAACACATTAAAAGAAATAAACCCAGAACAAAACAAATCACTTCTGGGAAGAACAAAATTGGGGAGAACTTTGAAGTGCCTGATAGCAACATTTTACAATGATCATATGACTCTTAACAAAATTAAGAAAACGAGCAGGGTTTAGGTGTTTATACACAATGCACCACGAACACTTCAAGGCCTCTCCCATACAATCAGTTCTATTAAGGTTGTTAATTGCTGAGTGCTAACTCCAAATGGTAAAAAAAACACACGAGTTGTTAAATTAGATTGCCACAGCGAAAGAACTTTTGTTCATATGAACTTACACAGACAGGAATGCAAAACGTTGTCCCTCCCCCCCAAAAAAATAAGTAAACAAACTGCGTAAAACCGTG